TTGGTTAGTGATGCGGGGTGGAATCCGAAGGGGAATCTTTCGTCGAATTCGTTAATTCCGTTGCCTGGTCGTCCTTTGTGGCAGACTTCGGAATTAAATTTCCGGTCTTACGGAATTCGAGGAATCCTTCGTCGGACGTCGGTTCGTCCGGTAATTCGATCAGCAATCATCCTAAGGTCGGTCGACAACAACGTAGTCTTCTTTAGTTCGTGACAACCCGCTATTAATAACGCTCATAAATAGATAAATAAATGAAAGCGATGCGAAAAAAACCATTGGAGGAACATATCTGATATATATAGCTGCAGCAACGACATATCTCCGCGAGATAAAGTGCTGAATATATATCGTATATAGACAGAGTGGCGATAGACGTAATTACATATTATCGATGTTAACGGACTGACCACGATTGCGTCAGCTTTCATTTGCACCGCAGGTGGCATGGGAAGGACGGTGGATAATCATTAATTAATGGGCAGTCAGCTTTAATAAAATGCATCATAAATGCACGGCACTAATCGCGCGGCGATTGAACTCGTTGATCGAAACAATTTCTCGTATTAGTATCTGATATTGCATTCGTGCAAAGTGTCGACGGAAATATTGTTTATTAATAGAAGGCGTATTATTAATTCACATATACGCGCATTCGTGCGATGATAACGTCAGAAATAGCTTAATGTGTTAGAGTTTCATGCATGCTACGCACTCGGCTGCGCCCCGGGTCTGCGCGGTGAACGAGCTTTGCCCAGTCGCACGTGAGACGGGCAGCTAGACGCACGTCCGCCGCGCCGTTCCCAATCCTCCGTTCGTGCATGAACAGCGAGACAAGTATGTAGCTACCGTCCATTTGCATTTCAATGCTTTCGTCGGTCCGAGCTCTGATGCTCCGTTTCCCTTTCTCGTCGCTTCTAAGCGTCGAGCTGAATCGCTCATTTATGAGACGATTCTCTCTCACTTCATCCCTGTAATATTTCCTTAAAACTTGGTATGCACATGCGGAAGACGGGAAAGTTAGCTGCTGTTAGAATGTTAGAGCGATTATCAAATCTCTCGGAATGTTAAATAAATTACAGTCTTACACTCTAGATAAAAATAATAGAATTCTTGAGAGTTCACGCGAATATATTTGTGTACAAGATTAAAAGTATGTGATTTTAAATTAATACATCTTATTAAATTAATACACCCAGGCTGTTCATCAATTCAGATTCGCCGCGGATAATTGTATGGAGATAAAAATATGCGAAATTATCATCATTATTCAACGACAGATGCAATGTTAATAGTGCAACATACATACGAAACTTGCAGCGAACTAATCGATTTCAGTCCGAACTTCGGTCGCAAATTCCGACCACCTGTTTATGGGCGAGCGGTGATTACCAAATGAAATTACGTACACCTGTACGCACGCAGTCCAAGTGTATGCATTAATGTGTGCATAGCTATCGTACCTACTACCTATTTCTAGCCGTCCAAACTTCCTCGCGGATCTCCAGACCGATGCCAGCTTGGTACCGAGAAGGACATCGATTTTCCACCGAGCGATTCGATGTTCATAGCCGACCATCCGTATAAAGATTATTGGTGTAAACACGAAGCAGTGTGTGTGTGTGTGTGTGTGTGTGTGTGTGCGCGCGCGCACGCATGTGTGTGTGAAATTTCAGATAGACGAGAAGAACATTATGCTCCGCCAGTTCGCACACAGTCGCACGGATTTCCTTACACGACGAATGAGTTTATATTAATATCGTTTCCGACTGGATTTATCTAAAATTAGAGTCACTACATCAGAGTACCACACAGACTTACGATACGTCGATTTTTCCGACGCGTCTGCGCAGCGATACAAACGTAATACAATACGCGTCAAAATTAGAACCGACTATTTTTGTTGATGCCAGCCGAGATGCTTTCCAACTTTGACACGATATCGAGAGCGAGCCATTTAAATCCGTGCCGTTTGCCGTGAATACGGTTCGTTCCGCCTCATCTATCCGAGATAGAAATGATTTAACGACGCCCCGTAATTTAATTTTATAGATGATTAAGTCGTTTGTCGCCACAGTTGATTAGATATTAGAATCTTCGTGAAGAAGTCTCGTGTGTTCCATCATCAGAAAATTGGAACTGTGGGATTCGACAGACAATAGCAAGAACAAAAGACTCACCTGTTCGACCAATAAAGAGGAGGAGGCACGACCAGAAGTTCTCGTCGAGAGTCTTGTAGCTCCTCGGAGACATTTCTCACGGGACGAGCGAGCGGACGATTAGATTTGGACCTGCAGTTTCCTAGATTTCTCGCCGATTCTAAGGGATGAGAGAAGCAAGACGCGAAGGGCATTACGCCCTTGAGGCAGATCACTTCCGTCCTTGGATCCCTTCCGCCTAGGAGCTTAGGCCAATTTCGACGTGTCGCAACGGAAAAGCATAGACCGAAGAGGACGGTGTCTTTTTTTTCCCTTTTCTCGCGACATTACACGAGATCGTGTTAGAGGAGAGGAAAATGCGGAAGGGATGAAAGAGCTCGGAGAGGATCATGTTGACAGTAAGAGGATGCAAACGAGAGTCCCTCACTAGACTTGATACGGATTACGAAAAAGAGCTGTCGAGAATGGATTAATAATAAGAAGATGAAATCTGTTTATTTTTAATAGGAAAAAGTATAAATGGATATCTTCTTTCTTGCCAATTTTTGCTTGAATTATGGTGAATATTTGCTTTGCAGCAACGGCACAAGAAAGTAGCAATCTTATAAAGTTTAATAGCCAGCGGCATCGTAGTTTGCGTTCGATTAACCGGGCTCCGAATTTCAAAAGAAAGCACTCGCGCCTCGTTTCAGTTTCGGTATACTCTCTCGGTGCAAATGAGAGTTGAATGAAGTTCGCGGAATTCTAAACTAGAGTCACGTCCGCGGGCTCGTCGCCTCGGCTCGCAAACGCATTCATAAAATACAGACGTGACATTTATGATAAATTATGCGAGCTATTTCAAACATTTTGTGCAATCACATTAGCGCTTCGATGGAACTATTTTTAACAATGTCGCACGCAAAAGTTTTTCCTCTTCTCACTTTTAAAGTTTGTGCTGTAATGTAACTTTGCCTCGTTCAACTACTACTTGACGATCGTGTGTTGTGAGGCTTAATAATTTATTATTCATCAGTCGTAAATTATTTACAAATACTGTGTATTCTCCGTGAAGTTCAAGAGTTTTGTCACTATTTTTTTTATGCAAGATATGGTTCAGCGCTATATCGTAGCTCTCAAGTACGAAGTTATAGTTTATGTTTCCTCGATAAAATTTTAATAGAATTTCTTTTTTGGCATCTTTCTTAATTTCTATCATATCTTGATAATTAAGTATCTAATTAAATTTTTGTTAAGAGTAAAAATAAATACAGAATACGTATGTTACTTTAGTAATTATAGAACATTGTCATTTGGTACAGTTGAAACATTTAGCAGAAATCGCAGGAAAATGTGTATACCTACTTTTGTATAGTGTCCTGTATTCTATACAATAAATCGCAATATTCGCGAGATCATCAACATATTTGACGGATTTTACACGCAGGCACTCTCATTTCAACAAACTCGAGCACGAATTTTACATACTCTTAAACTATATTTGGTTTTCTTTGGATTCGCCCGACAGGTTCGTTAAGTGTAGCTATTTAACAATTCACGGTCAGCGTTTCCCTGTCGGAAACGCTTCCGTACCCGACGGAACCGCCCGCCGTACTCGGGGGCTCTGTTGTGCCGCGAACGTTGCATTTATTTCCAGCGACCAAATATTCTGCGGCGATTCCGAGCGAATAATCTACGACGCGACGCGATTTACGGACTTTCGTGACCGAGTTCTCCTCCCTAAACAGATCGATACTCGCGAATGGCGGCGACGTGAATTATTTTATTATCGGCTCTCTTTGTAAGGGCATTTTTCTGCCGAGGAAATATACATTAATACTGGGGGACGCGCGCACTTAATGTTCCGACATTTTGAAATAATAAAATACTAGATGCATTATCGGATCTTTGTAAAAGAGGCAAAAAAAAAGAGAAAAAGAAACGAACGAAAGGCAAGATTTCTACTTTTTAAGTCCTCCATTTTCCACTCTTACTGCCAGTCTATCCCTTCTCGACACAGTTTTCGTCCAAATATCCAGAGCTTTGCTCCCGCAGTCTCGTTCTCTCCACTTTTTTTTCCTTCTAACGACTGAATAGTCTGGCCGTGACAAGTATATCGACCGCGTTCCCGCCATCTTTCTCTTATCCTACGCGCTCCATTCTGCCGAAAGAAATGCCGTTAATGCGCGTTATTATTTCTGAAATGGTGTCGAAACTGATACGCCAAGTTTTTCATAGCTACGATCTCAATATCAATAGTAGAATACGCATATCTCGCGTTTGCGCCTTTTCAGTCATAAAAAAGTTAATAATGAAGCTTTGAAAGTTCTCGCAGCGTTAAACTGGGAGAATTGCGGAATCTAAGAGTTTAATTTTCCCCTACAAAAGACTATCCATAAACAAATCTCAAATCAATGTAATTGATCGATCTCAATGTAGTTGATCGACTAAAGTCGATTACATCGTCGAGTGCGGATTATCCATTCTCTACCTTCTACTTGCAATCTCCCCTCGATCGCTTGAAGGGGAGAAAAGTCAGCGATCTCTTTTGATTAAGTCTCAATATAACCAGATTGCCAAATCGATGAAAGTCCGAGGACTCTTGCGCCGGAAATTCTTCTTTTTTTTATCTTTCCTTTCGTGCCACGACGTTTCCCACCTTTTCTCTCGCCTTCTTCGGCTATAGCGCACACTTGCCTTTGTGTTCGGCTACTTCCGCCAGCCTCACATCTACTCTCTTTCTTTCTCTCTGGTCACGCGATCGCTCTTACGGTAGGATTTTTCAGACTGTAAATTGCGAAAGTTCTAACACGACTCCCACGGTATCACGCCTTTAAGCTCAGCCATTGTTTCTTCTTGTTTTAGATCCTGAGACGGTTTTTAAGGATTCGAGATTCAACGAGCTCTGAGGGTAAGTGTTAGTTATTAACAGTGATTTTTTTGGCAAGAATGTAATTATTAAATTATATACAGTATTATTCTTTAGATATAAATTCGATTTTATCTTATAATATATGGGATATTGTACAATGTAGTATACTAGGTATACTAATAAATCTTTCGGCAATTACTCGCTGGTTCCGATTCGCGTGAAAACCGCACGTGGAAAGAGAGTGTTCCGAGCGCCCTCGAAATTTTCCAATGTTCACCGTGATATGTTGATTTTTGTCCGGAATTCGGTTAGAAATAATTTCAGCCAGACCGTTGAGGCGATATTTAGCGATTCAGCTAATTTGAGATTCGAAAAATTGACGAGCAAAAGCGCGGAGAAAACCGCAATTGTTTCGTCCATTTAGCGAATGCGAGCCTCTCATTCAAGCCCTCAACCGTATTTGAAATTTATCGAGGTAACAACAGGCAGCGCGATGGCACGGAGTATCATCTCCTTGAAAAGTTCCCCGTTCTTGTAAAGCGCTCGAAACAATTTCGACGTCGGTGGCATCGCTTTTGTATCGAGAATGCCAGGACAGAGAAAGTTTTTGCATTCTCTTGTCACGAGCCGCGATTTATCCCACGCTCGGAATATGCGACAATATTTATGCGCAATGTCTATGATATCTATGTTCCGCCCATCGTGAAAATTTTTCAGGTTGCGTATAAAGTATAAAATAAAATTGGACAGAAATGTTTTTATAATGCAAAGAACTTGATGTAATATTATTAAGTTGATTAAGTATTAAATTGATAGCAACTACTTCAAAATAATAATCTTTTTCGTTAATAGTTAATTTTTTTTTATGTGCGTGTATACAATTACAATATATACTTTTTACAAATGTACTTACAATATTTTTAATCGCAGTTTCTATCAAAGAAATTAAAGTTGCAGTTTTTTCTCGAAAAAAGAAAATCGCTTACGTATATGTGGGTGCAAGCTCCAATAAGGCTGGTACTTTTATGTAAATCGACTTCGTCCGAGAACGTGCAGAATTATTGCTTCGGGCGCCAACTTTAATGGTTTTGGCGAAAGGCGCCTATTAATATTTTTGCGAGATTGGACCGTGAATTTTTTGGTAATAATTTTAGAAATAATCTAATAATTTCTTTGATCATATAACAAGTCACGTAGTTGTGCCTGCCTATATATACTCCATACATATATATACATATTAATTCCAAACGAACGTTTTACCAGGTCAAAGATTATACCTGCTATTAAAAAGACGTAACGTTAAATTAAAAACGAGTATCGTTCAACAGAGATACCGAGCGTGCTCTCGATAAACGGAGCGTAAACGCGAAATTAAAGTGCGCACGGCCATGCAAAAATTTTACAGCGTTCTATTTGCAAAAGCGACTCGAACACTCGGACGATGACGTTATCGCAGCCACAGCTGCCTAAATGGAAAACCTTCAGGGAAAGATTCGCTAAATTACGTCCGCCGGCGTCGACGGCAGCCCCCGCCGAGGATGAATAAATTAAGAAAAGAAGCTATATACTTGGCTCTTTCGACGGGCAAAGTCTCGTGCGTGCTTAATTAAATTTAGCGCCACACTTGGCGCGAACTCGCCTTCGGTTCTCCTCCCTTCGATATCCAACGCGAGGGGAGAGAGCCGCAGAAAATAATATACATTCGGGGAAGAAATTATGCAAATGTTTGTTTACTTCTATTATACATACAACGGCGCGCTGCAGATGTATCTGAATTAAAATTTAAAAATCCTTTCTCTCTCTTTTTCTTTTTCTCTCTCGCTACTTGTCGACGAGAGCGAGTCGCTCGGATATAAAGCAGTCGATCCATATCTCGTCCTTTCGACGCTTGATTCTCGCCGTCTCGGTCGATACAATTGCGGTATCGGAAAACAACTGCAGGAGACGACATTTGGATATAATCTTAGCTTACATTTTCCGAGCGTACGTTGCTTCTGGAAAGTTATATATGATGAGAATAATATAACGATACGCTCCCTCTCAAAATGCCGATTATTTTTATCACCGTGCAAAAGAGGAAAATAATATGTTTTTAGGGTCCATGAGTTTACCCAAAGTTAAGCTGAAACGTGATTTAATTCCGTTCTTTAATCACGGTCGATGACGGGAGGAGTTCCCATAAAACTGAGCGTCATCCCGAAACAAAACATAGTTTTCCACTTTTGGCGATCCGTTAGTTTTAAAAGACAAACCTTAAGTTTTTCTATCCGCGGCGGTCTAAGCAAACTGAACTCTGTAACGAGTTTTCTCTCTAACCAAATTGGCGTAAATCGAAATGAAGTTATCAAACACAGCAAAGTCATTTAAAGCTATTCATGAAATGGCTTGGAATAATTAGCTGATGTTAAAAAAATTTTTTATATTACATTATTTATCAAATATTATTTTCTGTACACAAAGTGGCGTAGATTTAATTTATGTTCAATTAATACTTTGCATAAAGTTCGTATTTTGCCTAGACGTGATATTTATATTTCTCAGTTTTCAATCAAATCAGCCGATTATTTTTTAATATTCAAACGCAATCGAAATAAATATTCTGAAAGTTAAATCTTAATCTTCCGATTGTATTTTCATTTCGTACAAATCCGCAATTACAAAATTTCTAGTCTCATCCGCATGCAGCGCTCCACGTGCAGCTTCCGAGTCATCCCCCCGCGTCTTATCGTGATTCCTATCGTCTTCTTTCCGTAGAACGAGCGTCCTCGAGGAAGGAAAAATATTAACCAAAGAGTGTTCCGCGAAAAAACAATCCTGTAGGGTGATGTCTCCGTAGAAGGAGTTGAAAAAGCCGCGAAAGAAAAGCCGAGAAAACAGAAAAGAGTCAAAGGCGGGGCGAGGAAGGACGTTCGCCCCAGGGTGCCGTCGGTAAATCCTTACACTCCTGGATGCCGCCCTTCCGCCCGATCAATATTGCGTTGGTGGGGCCGAGGCAGGACGGTTCGCTGCGAGGGGCGGTAGGGGATCACGGAGCCGTGGAGGGTTGAAACGAGGCGGAGGGGGAACGAGGGTTATGCCGTCGCGGTGGTGGCGACGGTGGCGGCGGATAAAAGGAGTAAACGCGAGAGACAGCAGGGGGTTGCTGACGGCACGAGGGTAGAAGGGCGCGACGGCGGTGGGGGGTTGTTTAGGTGGGGACGATGGTGGAGAAGCTAACGCGCTGTCATGGCGCCGCGCAGCATCGCCAGGCAAGCGGCACCTCGGTGTACTCCCTCGCGGCGCGTTACGCGTTCTTCAGGATACCGCGATCGACAGCGACGAGCGACCTAGTGAAATTCGCGCGCGTCCGTACCGCGTCGTCTCGTCCGCGCGCCACGAGCCGCTCGTCGTGTCGCGTCGCGTCGCCCGCTCGAACGTTCGAGCGTCGCACCAAACGCACGGTGTTCCACTTTTCGCGCTTTCTTCGAGACTCGGAATACTCTGATACTCTGACGGCCGATAGCCTCCGCGAAGACGCAGTTCGGGAGGAATCGTGAAACCGCCCGCGATAACCTATCGCGGTGTCGAATCGCGTCACGCGACGAGCGTAGAGCGCGACGTCTCTCGTATTTATTAAGTGCGAGTATCGATGTACGACGTGTGGGTTGTGTGTACGCGATTCGAACAGCAGTGACGCGAGTGACAGCAACGATCCACGGTGATCGCCGATCGCGGAGATCTATCGCATTGCCGGAGAGCGACACACGCTTGGCTGGCTCGCCCGCGCCGCCATCGATCGCGAAGGTCGAGACTGAAGGTCGCGAGTCTCGGGGAGATTTCGCCACCTGCGGAGATTAATCTACGAAATCCAGCGCATCGAAACTCAGTGATCCGACGTTTGTTATCCCGACGTCATCGGAGCGCGCGCGCTTTTCCCTCGAAACAAGATCACGGCGTTGCACGATGTCGAGAGTCTCGTCAACGCGCTCTACCGGTGTAACATATCCGGAGTGAATCGATGACGAACGAAAAGAGGGGAATCGTGATAATCATCAACGACACTCGTCGATGCACAATGTCGCGGCGCGACCAGACACGTGACTGAGGCGGCGAGAGGTCCTTCTGCGGCGAGGACCTTTGCGAGTCCTAATCGGGGAATCAACATCGGCGAAGATAGGCGGGGGTGACCACCGTCGCGGGAGAATCGAGCTGGCAGCGGCTGGGTTTCGTTGCGACGCTATACTAGGAATAACAATGTCCTAGCGAAGGCAGGACCTCGTCTCTAGGCCGATCCCCCTCATCCTGATCCACTTCTCTTCCAAGGAACCTATACACGCAACACACAGGCATACACCCCGTCGGTCCCGATCACCAACGTACACCCATTTACACCGTCACCGTGTCCCACCGTTACACGCGCGTTCGCGTTGATACAGATTTCGCCGCACACATGTAATCGGCCGCGCGCGCATATATACATATACGTACATAAACGCAGAGTACACGCATATAAAGATATACATTCGTGTACACGCGAGAAAAGAATAAAAGAAAGAGACGTACACAAGTATATACAGATACACATACGCGCGCGCGCTTTCGACGCCCCTGCTCCTTCTCTGCCTCTCGTTCTTTATCGTCGATCCCGTGGCGAGACCCGTCATCGCGCACCCGCAACCTGTACACCCAGGACGACACAAACACGCGCGGGCAGACACCGGAAGCGACACGTATAGGAACGGTGCGCGCGAGTTTCCCGAAACCAGCCAAGTCCAAAGTCCTTAATCCCGTGGGGTGATTCTGGCCCCGCCCGTACGCGAAGGAACCACACCCCAGCGAGAGAGTGAGAGAGGTGGTGGCGAATTCAGGGTCCGGATTTAGCAGGCTCCCCGGTAAGCTCCCGGCATCAGCAGTCGATTCTTTTTCCGCGCGTCTTCTCCCATCTCTTCTTTTTTTCCGCTCTTGACGACGCGACTCCAAGGAGTAACCTTGATCGCGGCACGAGGGTGGGAAGAGGGTGGCCGAGGGGCGAGGGGGGTGGGTGGATATCGGCCTCCTTC